AAACACTAATCCCACATCAAGATTCATCCAATGGTTCTTAAATTTTTGAAATCGCTGCAAACTTATTCTAAAATTAAACTACTTGTCGTAGATGTGCCTCTAACAACAGTTATATTTCGGTCTCAAAAGATTCAGAATGGCTTAAAACCTAGAGAAAACATAAAATTGGCAAGACCGATTCACTGACGGAAATATAAAATAGTTGTTCGATACTTTTTCAATATCGATAGCAATGCTAAGTGTTTAGTGCCAAACAAGTGGTGTATCGCATCGTGCCTTGAGGCTAATTGCTGAAACTTCCCGTAGCAAAAATTAATTTTTTTTTAAAATATTAAATATTTTTTTAAAACTTTAAAAATTTAGATTTTTGGGAAAATTGAAATTTTTGAAAAAAATTGAATCTGTGAAAAGAATTTTTTTTGGAATAAATTATTTTTTTTATTTTAAAATATTTTGGAAATTTTGAACTTTTTTTCAAAGGAATCGGACAGCTTCAACTCGATAGAAGCGCGTAAGCGCCGCATCACGGAACCTATAGAAATGTAAAGAAAATTGATACACATTATTAAAATTTTCATAAAATGTCTGATAATTTGATGCGCATATGTCTAATGATCATTTTTGACCGCAAAATAGCATTTTTTTTACTTTTTTTACTAGATCTCCAAAACCGCTACGCCTGCCTTCCCCAAAATTTGAACAGTTCATCATCTTGTCAATACAAGCAAAACGATTTTTTAATTATCAAAATCAGACCTGATTTTATTGATTAGATCAATACGAATCTAATGTTTTTTGAATAATAGAAATCGGTTGAATCGTGTTCCCGAAATCGTCGACAAAAATTTGTATCCGCACATACACATACACATACATCTATTTTTTCTAAGGTATGCAAAATGTTCAGAAACCTTTGAAACGAAAAGATATGCAAAAATTTTCATTGTCAATTTTTTTGCGATTAGTATAACTTACCCTACGGGAAGTTAACAAAGCTAAAATCCAAAATATAAAATTTATGCATATATACTTGTCTTGTCAGTTGTTCAACATCTTGTTGATATGCTTGTAATTGACATTCCTGTTGTTTCCTGAGTAATCCTATAGAGTTAATATGCTGCGCTTCTCGGGATTGCAATAAAGCTACTTCATCGGTGCGAGTTTTTAGGAGTTCTTTAAACAAACATTTAAAATATATCAAATTGATATCAAAAACAGAAATGACATAATGTAAACAAATATAAAAAAAAACAAATATATTTTTAGTCCTTCTTTATTTACATTTGTGCATCAATTAATTAAGTAAATTAGTTTACTTCTGGATATAAAGAAATAGATGAGTTTTGATAAAAAATGCAAGGCCTAACATGAAGGCTTAAACAAATTTATAAAGCAATGTGTTTTAGAACTGAATATCGTACACATATATTGATAAAGTACCTACTCAATGATAACGATGAAAAAAAATTCAAGAAACAAAATGATTACCTTTTATCATTTCGCTTTTATCCCTGGCACAATCCAAATGCACCTTTTGTTCACATGCAAGTTTTCGTTCTGAATTAATTGTCTGTTCAGCATCAACAAGATTTCGTTCAGTATTCTCCAGAGTTGCACGAGTATCCGATAGACTTTTATATAATTTAGATATCTGAAAATATTCATTTTATTTAATTTGATTCAACTCGTTGTAATAATCTGCTTTGCAACCTTGGTTTGGTAATATACAGTAGCATTTTAGTATGTTAAATTATTAAATAAAATCAATAAGAAAAGAGTCTTGCAGATCAAGAAAGCATTATGTCCCTCAGAGTTCAACATCCCGAAAAAGATCTTTTCTTAAAGATCTTACTTTCTTTAGTCGACATTGCTGCTAAAAATCTAAATATCATTAAAATATATTACAACTCAAATTTTATTTACAATTACCTCGGCATTTTTGTCTTGAATATTATTTTTAAGTATGACATTTTGTTGTTCCAATCTTTGGCATTCCTGCATAAGACTATCATTTTGTATTTTTACACCTGCTAGCGCCTCCTGTAGGCTGGAATTAGTCGTTTCTGATTCAAATTCCGATTGGGCCTGAATAAAATTATATGAAATTAGATTTTATTAATGTTAAAATACAAATTACATAAATTATTAAACAAAATAAAAAAGTGATAAAACTCTTAAGCTATCTCCTACTTATTCATTATAATTATTTTTTCAGAAATTCACTTATATAAGTTTTTAATCCTAAAAGTTCATTTTGATATATTATAATTAAGAGAATCAGCAATAAATGTTAATGAAGATCATGCTATATTTCTATTAATAATAATCTAATGCATTATTACCAAAACATCCTGAAGAGTTCGTAGTTGCACAGTAATGAGCTGTATTTCTGCACCCATGTCCATCAATAATCGTTCATATTTCGCGCGTTGTCGAGTTAGTGCTTCTGACCATTGCTCCACCTGAGAAAAATATTTTAAAAATATTTTAGAAATTAAACTTACTTATAATGAATATTTAAAATATTGAAAATAGTTAGTTCAAGTTCAACCGAACTTCGAAAAGTTACAAAAAAAAACTGTTAAGTCTAACTTGAAATTAACAATACATCTTATACAACAATTAAATAGCGTATACTTGAAATTCACATTAAAAACTCGTAAACTAAACAACAGTGCTCACAACTACAACAAAAAACTAACTACGAAAGAAAATACTTTTATCTTCCGGTAGCGATGTCGTAGAAATAAAGGTGACTGGTTATACATATAAACAATATTAAATGATAATAAAAATTTCTTTCAACAGAAAAATTAAAAAATAAATTGAAGAACCTAGTTATTTATTATGGAAATTACGAAGTAATGGAAATTAACAGATTATTCATTTTAAAGTTTATATTATAAACGAAGAAACTTTTAATCAAAAATGATATTAAAATAACTTTACTAGTCGACCTAATTCTGTGATATTAAAAACCAATCCACTAGACTTGAGAAAAAAGCGAATCAAGAAAAGTATTTAATTTTCAAATATAATATAGAACTCACAATTTGGGTATTCGATTTTTCACTTTCTTCTCGGCATTTCTCCAAAGCCTGCATTTCCTTGTTTTTATCCTCTAACAATTTTGTGAGTTCGTCCAAATCAGAACTGAGCCGTTCCACTTGAGTGCGCAACGTAGCATTTCTGCACTCATTCTGAAAAATTTATAAATCACTTTAATTGTTTATTTTATTTCAATCAAATTAATCTTTGTTATGATGTCATTGAGAATTCTATCACATTATCATTAGCATTCAAGAGCGTCAGTAGAATTTGCATGCACTATCCAGGAATGATAGTTGGGAGGAATTTGTATAAGGAAGGATTGATTATTAAGTTGTTGAAGCAAAAACTCTTTCTAATTATTGCATATACTACAATAATTATTTTATATAGTTAGATAAATATTAATCTTTATTTGTGTGATTAATTAATTAAACAGACAAGCAGAGAAGATGGAGCATTAGAAATAATTATTCAAAGTTTATTCATATTTCATAGTGTTTAAAATTTTTGTAAGACCGATAAGTAATTATTTGATATTGACAAAATTTCGTTAAGATATACATACATACTTTATTCTGAGTTTATTAACTTCCCGTAGGGTAATCGCAAAAAAATCGAAAATGAAAATTTTTATGTATCTTTACGTTTCAGAGGTTTCTGAATATTTTGGCATACCTTAGAAAAAATGGATACGTGTGTGTGTATGTGTGTGTGTGCGTGTATGTGTGTGTGTGCGTGTATGTGTGTGTGTGTGCGTGTATGTGTGTGTATACGGATACAAATTTTTGTCGACGATTTCGGGAACACGGATGCGATTTGAATAATTAAAAGAACATTCGATTTGTATTGATAAGGAGATGTGCTGATTAGTTTTTGGCAAAGGCAGGTCTACCCGTTCCAAAGATACGGAGCAAAAAGTGCCAAAAACGGTAACTCAGTTTTTAAGAGAACGGAGCCGATTTAAGTCCGATTTTAATAATTCAAAAAACATTTTATTTGTATTTACAAGATGAAGAACTGATCAAATTGTCATGAAGGCAGGTCTAGCGGTTTCGGAGATCTAGTAAAAAAAAGTAAAAAAAAAATGCTATTTGGCGGTCAAAAATGATCATTAGACATATGCACATCAAATTATCAGATATTTTATAAAGATTTTAACAATAAATATAAATTTTGTATTGTTTTGTTCCTATGGGTTCCGTATCAATGATTTATCCATTAGACGGCGACGCGGCGCTTACTCGCTTCGATATTTTGTCTCTACGCAGTTAAAGCAGTACGATTGCTTTGAAAAAAAGTTCAGAATTTCCAGAATATTTCAAAATAAATTTTTCTTCAAAGTCTTTTTTTTTCAAAAAAAGGAAATTTTTGTCAAAAATTTATAGTTTCTCAAAAATCTATTTTTTTCAGAATAAACAAAAATGTTAATCTTTTTTAAAAAAAAAAATTGGTACGGAAAGTTCTAGCAATTTACCTTAAGGCACGATGCCATACGCCCCAATAGTTCAGCTATTAATTTTAGCACTTATTAATATTTTGTAAGAACTTATGATTTGTGATTATATAAATATTGGTTTCTTTAGAGAAACAATAGCTGTCCAATTTTCAGACGAAATAGAATTAAAATTTATAATCTGTCGAACAATCATATTAAGATTTTCTTAAGTCACGTGTTTCAATTGTGAGTACACATATTTACATAAATACTTTTAATTTCATGCTTCAGCATATCCCAATGCTCAAGTAATTTTATAGCTATAGCTATTCTTTGTTAACTTTTGAACACACAACATTATTGTTTATTTTAAAATAAAGCTATTTAAATTTCATAAAAACGCAAGTCGTAAATTGCACATTAATTTAAAAGGAATTCTGCAAGTAAATTACAAAATCGTACTAAATAGGAAACATGAATGGTCATTGAAATTCTGATTCAATGTTATTATGATAAAATTAAATCAATTATATTAAAAAAAACACAGATCATAATCATTACGCAAATAATAAAGTAAGAAGAAGTACAAAAGTATTCGGTGTCAAAATTAACATGCAATATTTTATAGTAGTATTGCACATGATTTAGAATAATATTATGCACACATATTATTAAAAAAACTGCAATAAGTCGAGCATGCATTTTTATTTTTAATATTTCATAATCACACTCGCACATCACTTCTATGGTTTTTGAAACCTGTTTGATGATATCCAATTCTGTCCAGAGTTGTGATATTTTGATTTTAAGAGTATAGTAATCCCTTATAACCACCTGCAATACAAAATAAATTAGTTCAAGGTTTTATTAAAATTATAGTAAACAAACCAATTTATAATAATTTAAATTAAATAAGTTATAAGTTCTTAATATTTAAAAACTAGAATACTGGAATTGATAATAAGTCATTTGATTAAATATAAATTACTAACATATTTAACACAATTGTTTAAATATTTTTTATCACTTTTACCCACAAACATTTTTATTTGTCTTCTAGTGAAATGTTACAATTTGATAAACTTTAAAAATATATATTTTTTATAGTTAAGTGATTTGTTATCTCAAATTAATGGTAATTAATTTATTATGATAGATTTTATTGATGAAGTGTTTCGGATGCATTTTTAATTTTATTTGAATAACTCGACGAGTTATTATAATAAAAAGTTTCCGATTCACAGCGCCTATGATACTACCCTAAAACAATAGCGTTCGAAGTTATTTTCTGACACTTCAAGCGCAAATGTTCACTCAGTGAATTAAAAAATAGTTCAATAATCTATTTTCCATATCTTGATTAATTCTTTTTTAATCTAAACTACTTTGAATTAGTTTCAATTACTCTATTTAAACTATTTTCATTATTGGCAAGGCTACGTCTTACCCTAATTTTTTATACTTTCTGAACGTTTTTGCTAAGATATGAAATATATTATAATTGTTACTAGAAAATCTTAGTTACATGTATTTTTTGAATAAATGTACAATTAGTTGTTAGTATATTTGTAATACTTAAATTATTAACTTTCCGTAGGTAAGTTATAGTAATCGCAAAAGAATCGAAAATGAAAATATTTGCATATCTATACGTTTCACAGGTTTCTGAATATTTTGGTATACCTTAGAAAAAATCTATGTGTGTGTATATATGTGTGTTTGGATACAATATTTCGTCCACAATTTCGGGCGCACAAATCAACCAATTTGAATGATTCAAAAACCTTCGATTCCTACTGAAGACAGATCCAGTCGTTTCAAAGATACAGGGCAAAAAGTGCCAAAAACGGTAATTCAGTTTTTGAAAGAATGGAGTACCTGATTTAAAAAACATTTTACTGGTATTGACAAAATGAAGAATTGATGATTTTTGGTAAGGCAGGTCTAGCGATTTTGGAGATACAGAAAAAAAAGTAAAAAAAAGATAGTTGGCGGTTTAAAATGATCATTAGACATAGTACTAATTTCGTTACAATTTTTATGGGCTCCGTACTAAGATTTTTTAATTTTTAAAGTTTACTTATACTATTCAAGCAAATTTCAAAATTTTCAAAAATATACAAAGTTTTATACTGCAAATATAAATTTCAAATATTTTTTATGCATTTACCATTACAATAATAAATTTGTTGTTGCAATTGTTGCAATACCCAAAAAGCATATTAAAATATAAATTACTATTGAATGATAAATACAAGCTCATTATAGTTCAACAATGGATAAATAGTCGTAATTTTTTTGCAGATTAAATTTTCTTAAAGTAATGACGTGAATGTACATAACGCACATTTCATCGAGTGAGAATACTATATTATTTTTCTTCATATTCGGGTGGATTCGGAGAACAGAAAATAAGAAATTTTTGGTAAATATATATTTACAAATATAAATTTGTAAATTTGGAAAGTATGTAATTCTAAATGATGGCATACGGCGCACTTAAAACATACGTTACTGAATTGGCTTTAATTGTAGCGAATAAGAGTAATTGATTCTTAATCGTTTTGAGAATTACACATGCTTTTTATGAAGGAACATTACACCTACACACGCAAACACACACACACACACACACACGTATATATATATATATATATATATATATATATAAATAAATATAGGGTAGAGCGAGGCTTGAAGGTCCGCGGGTACAAAGGTCTACCAGCGATATCTACAAAACTATTGAAGTTAAGAATTTCTTAATAACAATATTTGAAAGTAGAGAGAAAAAATGTATAACTTTTCATAACCTTGATTCTTTCGACTTTGTTATTAGGAGATAAATGGCAATTTTCAAAAATCTATAACAAAAGTATGAAAAGTATGGTTATAGATAGTTAATAGTTAATAAAGTTAGTAATCTTGTTATTATTTCATAAAATTTCTTCAAAATTGAAAATAAGACATTGGATCTGTTTACCTGTTGGCTGTGTCATTTAACCCCGCCTATGGGGTAAGGAGGATCAGGTAAAAAAACATATTTCTACAATGATAAATCAGCTGGGTGTTTTACTCCTTTCTAATATAGTCAGATAGTTATTTGTTTGATATATGGTATTTGAAATGATGTAATTGCGATTTGATTTTCACAATATAATTGCTCAAAGTCAAATCGGATCTTTGTGCCCCGCCCTACTCTATATATACATATCTTAGAGCGGGTCGATTTGTATGGATCAAAAAAGTCGCTTAGGCACATATAATTTTCTGGTACTAGAGAACAAAATAAGATGCTTTGCTGAAGAAACCACACCTCTAAAATTAATTCTGATGGCCCGTGCAATTACCCAAAAATAAGGGTTGAAATTTAAACTATGTATATATTTATTTAAATATATTTGAGATGTTCTCCGATTCCTCAATATTGTTTCTATGTATAGCTGAATATCGCATGTCTGATTATAGTTCTCACCTAACATATTTTATCTGCATATATTCGAACAGACACCAACCTAGTACTCTATATTAGAAAATACACATGTATCTGTAAATTTAGATATGAATGCCACTTGTAGTAGGCTTTGGAAATATAGGCCAATAGGCAGAAATAAGCGATGTTCAAAAATCAATCAATTTAATCATATGATTGGTATAATTTGCATATTAAATATGTTTCACAATATAATATAATATTTTTATATTTATATATTGGTTCAAACTTATTATTTTTTATGCTATTAACATACAATGTGGATTGTTAAAATCAATTCAATATTCATCACTTGATATAGATATTTAGTTATCTCTGTAAAAAATGCACCCTAAGTTGATAATTTTCATAACTCTACTAGCCAATTGATTCGCACGGTCTGTATAAATATGAAAATATAAATGAATAAAATCTATATGAATTCCTAAATGATGAAATCTACAATAACTTTTAATTGCTGGTAAAACCGGCACATTTCTTCTTATATATATATATATATATATATATATATATATATATATTTATATTTATATTTTAATACACAAGTCCTGGATTTTTTCAATAAATTGATATATGTTTCTTTTCCGAACAATAAATTTAATAAATAACAAACAATTTGTTTTTTGAAGATGTTTAATTACGACCTTTCGGAACTACCATCATGAGATACATTCCATCATCAGGTTTTTCCTTTCAAAAACTGTATTTAATTTGAAATTTAAAACTATAATTCGCAGAAAGATCTAACATTTACAAAATAAAAATATCCATAGAATAGGCTACAACACCTTAAATAAAAGTAGGTCACACTTACGTGTAATATAGCAATAATACGGAAGTTTTCATTAGCACTTGTTCAATTCAAGTTTTTGATTGATTTCTATAATATGAACTTTGTATGAAACAAACATTAGAAGTTAAATTTCATTGAAGTGTTATGTTAATAATTTGAGGTTACTCATTAAATCTATATTCTAAAGTTCAAAAATATACTTATTAAAACTCAAAATGTTTTAATTGAATTGTTCGATGGAAAGATAATAAAGATTTTAAATAAATATTTTTAGATTATATCTATATTAAGTTGTTCGAAAAACGGTTGTGCCAGGCATGTGGTAATCGAATCAATTCATTGTCAGATATTTTATATAAATTTAATGATTGTCCTTCTAGAATAGCCGCTTCTCAATAAATTAAAAAGCTACCAATTAGTATGAATAATGTATATTAAAGATCTTAAGTCAAAATAGTATAGCATGATTTATAGAGTGAAATTAGACGATAATCAATTTAGAAAATGTTCCACCAGCCCATTCTATATTAATGTTGATTTTTTTTTCTATATATGTGCGTAATGTTTAGTAGCAATAATCCAAAATAATTATTAAATTAATACTCACATCGTACACCTTTATTCTGTCTTGACAGCTCCGTAATTGGGCCTCAAGAATTCCAACATCTTGTTGTAAATTTACTATTTGTCTTCTTAGTTCTAAATTTGCGTCTCGACAAAGTTCTAAATACCTTCTTTGCGAAACATTCTAAAATCATATTTGTAATTATTATGTATTCCAGCGAAAATTCAAGTTATTGTTGAATATTAAGAACATATTAACAAACATTATCAATTTTACTTGTGACTGTTTTCAATTTTGTTAATATATTCTTATGAAGCAACAAATAATGTCTTACCTCATTGATAGCCTCCATGAACTGTTCTTCTAACACTGATATTTGAGCTTTTAATTGACTAACTAATATGCTATTTTTATCAATCTATAAAACATAATAAATGTAGAAGTTTTTAGTTACCAGCAAATTAATTATTTTATTACTCTTCAGACACCATGCATCTGGACAAATTTCAAAAAAGCTTTCTCAAAAGCTATTTAAGATTTCGAAAGATACGCACATCACAGAACTTTTAGGTAAAAGTTCACTTTTTTATTTTTTTTATGTATTATACTCCGGAATTTTAATAAATCTATATTGTTCATAGATATTTGCATCATTATATTTAGGTTCGACGTAAGACTACACTTAAATTTTTAATTATTTGAGTAAATTATTTTATAAATATAGTTCACTTCCAAAAATTAAAACAAAGGCAAATTAATCCAAATAAATATCATTACTGAAAATGAAATATTTTTAAAACAAATTGTAAATAAATTTGTATAACATTTTTTTTATTTTTTTCATTTTCACTTACTTCTTGTGCGTCTTTTGTTGTATTTGCTCTTAATTCATTTAGTTCGAAATTAGAGCTTTTCAAACTCTCCTGTAGACACAAAGTAGATGCAATTTGCTTTTGTAACTGCAATGAAATAAATATTTTTTTTAATTTAATAAAAACAATATACATTGCGTAAAATCACGCAATTCTATGTCAGGCATTAGAAAATAAAAATTTCAATATGAATTATAAAAAAAATATGATAATACAATAAATAACGTTTATTGTCTGTCTGTAACAAATGTTTTGAAAATTAAACAGTTTTTAAACCATATATTTAATTGTATTTGAATTATCAAATGTACCTGTTCTCTAAATTTTTGAGCTATTTTATCAGAAAACTGCACTGCTTGTTCCAGTTGTTCAATTGTGCCCTTATTAAGCTCTAATGCTCCTTTTAAATTGTCTATCTGTAAAAATAATCAGAGTAGATGCAATTTAATATCAAACTTTCTAAACAATAATACCTTTCTACGAAATTTATCACTTTGAATGAATATTGATACATAATAATAATAAATAATAAATAAATTCAACATTAAATCTTTAATATTTATCTTTATTATTATTCGTTTTGCTATGTATTCCCTTTTTAATCAATTCCGTATGATACGTTGTCTGTGTTAAAATAACAGTTTTATTATTTTTGACTTTATTAACAATTTTGGTTTTACTATTATGACAAAGGATAACTCTTTCAAAAGACAAAGTATATGAATGTTAGTAAAAATGATGTTCGGCAATATAATAATAAAATGAAATTCAATTTTATCAAATTTTTTTTTCTTATTACAAAATTTATAGAAATTTGATAATTTTTTGTAAAGCTTTTTAATTGTTTTATAGCAGAAAATGCTGATAAGCATGTGGTAAAATAGTTGATTATAAATTAGTAGATACCCCCAGTGATGTATCTATTAGAGCTAATTTATATTATAAGAAAAAAGCTTTTGAATGATGTATTTATCAATCAAGTCGATATTAATAATATGTATATATATGCAGAATAAAAAGATGCACCACTGACAGTGATAACTCAAAAACAAGTTAAGTTAAGTTAAGAAATTGTCAACAACAATATTTGAAAGAAGGAAAAATATGTGTAATTAGCCTTAGCTTCAATTTAAGCATCTTCACTATTAGGAGATAAAAGGCCCAGCTTGAAAATCTATAACAAACGTATTTTCTTTCTTTGTTAGTTTTTTTGGTTGTGAGCACTGTTGTTTAGCTTACGAGACCTCAATTATTAATAATTTTTGGGGTACGTTATTTTTTATTAATAATTTTAGGTATACGTTATTTAATTGTTTTATAAGATGTATTGTTAATTTTAAGTTAGATTAAACAGTATTTTTAAATAACCTTTATAAAAGCTTACATGTGGGTGGAGTTCAAAGAGATCAATTGGCAAAAGTAAAAATAATAAAAAATAAGTAATTAAAAAAGTAAATCAAGTTCATAAGAGATAAATTAAATAAATAGTTATTGAAAAATCGCAAAAAACACATTTCTTTATTGATGAATTATCAAGGAGTTTAATTAAATGTAGTCAGATAGTAGATATATTTTGCCCTATATGATATCTTTCATGCATTATAACGATGCAAAATATATCACATTATGGGCATACATAGTTTATCAAAACGCACTATCATATTAAAAGTATTAAAACAGGAAATGTAAACGACCTCATTTTGTCGATCCTGTCGATCATTTAGAACATCTTCATATAGTTTTTTCAACAACTGGATTTCTTCTAAATTCGTTTGTGCTGTTTCCATTTCCAGAGTTATATTTTTCTCTTTGTGTTGTGCCTGCAAATCAGGAATAAAATAAACAATATTTGCTCTTTACATAGATAACACTTGCATTTATGCATTTACTTTATTACTTATAGCAAATTTTAATATATTTTTTTTAATGTAAATTTAGAATTCAATTAAAATTATTTACTGAATGTAGAGATTTGTGTTCGTTGTTTGAATCTGATATTTTTTTACTGATGAGTTTAAAATTTGTTTTTTTATATAAAAAATATCCTTGATTAACCCTTTGCACCTTGAAAAAAATTACATTATAAAACTTCCAATCATCAAAAAAAATTTTATATAATGAAAAAAATTTCATTGAATTAAATAAAAGTAATAATAAGTGTATAAAAGTAATAAAGGTGAAACCAATTATTTCATTAATCAAATGATTTATTCCCTTTGCATCTTGATATAAATAAAATGTAGAAAATCCAATTTTTGATCCAAAAACATTAACAATCAAGAAAATTCTATGGAGTCTTAATAAATTGCGCATGAACAACAAAGTTAAAGCAATATTTTTATTCAAATTAATCTTAATAATAAATTAATTTAAATCAATTAATTCATCCCAAAGTCTGTATAAGTTTCTTTAAAATAACTATTGATGTACTATCGGCAGTCAAAAATAAATTATTGAACCTAGATGCTAAAAATGACATGATTTTTACTAGTGCATTTTAGTAACAATCAGTTCAAATGTATTTTGCACGCACTAGATTCAATGTCCGAGTTAGAAACATTTGTGAGCGAAATGCTTCACAAAGTGTTATTTTTAGGTTTTTATTTTTTAACTCTAGCTTTTTCAATAATAAAATGAACCGATATTTTATAATCCTGAATAAATGCGCTAACTTTTTATGAGACTTGCCAACACACTAACTGTTGTACATTTTTTTGAAGGAGGGTCTCTCAAAGTTTACCTTTTTTAATACTATTAAGTTCATAGTTCAACAAAAAGTCTTATTTCTCAAAACCTTAGTGCAATTGTGTTATTATTTTTGATAATGATCCCAGAATTTTTATTCAAGGTTACGGTTCCAAAGTTTAAATAATCAAAATAATAAACATCAACCACAAAAACCAAAAAATGGTTATTATTTCACCAAAGTTTTAGGTTGTACTTAAAAGCTCAAAATTTCCAAACGACGTGAGATAATTTTTATTTCTAAATTATTTCAGTTAAGGTCAATGCCATCATCTTGTTTCAGTTTGACGTTAAGTTCTGGGACACCCTATATAGCATACCATTTTTTTATTTTCGAAGAATCGTCCACACTTCATATCACATAAATCTTCAGAGTCGCCATCACATAGTGTTTCAATATCTTCATCAGAAGAACTTTGGGTCCGATTCAACTATAAGAAAAATATAAAAAATATAAATAATTGTTAAATTATAAACACCTTTTGTACATACCAGAAATGCTGTTTATGGTATGTAATAGAAAATTACTAGAAGAGGTAATATAAAAGCATAATTATTAGACAAATAGATAGATTTATCTTGGCTCATTTTTTTGCAGTCAAATTTATATATGCATAGAAAATAAAGGTTTGTTTTTATAAGTAATTTTGAAAACTAGAGAGTTTGTTTGTTAGTTAATTATGCCAATTTTATTTATGTTTTATATTAATTCAATGACTAGGGTAAAGCGGGACATAAAGGTCTAATTTAACTTTAAGTAATTATATTGTGAAAACCAAACTAATTACGTTACAACAAAAACATGTATCAAACAAACATCGTGGACTATCTGATTATGTTCAGTAAAATTCACAGTCAATTCATTACGTAGAAATGTGTTATTTTCTATTTTTCAAAACTTGTAAAATTTGTAACCTGGTCCTTTTTACGCCATAAGTAGGGTTAACTGGGACAGCCAGAGCGTAAAAAAGTCCAATGTCTTATTATAATTTTGAAGGAATTTTACGAAATAATAGCTACATTATTCAACCAATGTCAAATATAAATTTATGAGCATTTTGAGTTTGATGGCTGGTTTACATCCTTTTTTCTCTACATTCAATATTCTTAATTTTACTGCTTTTTGAGATATCGATGAACCTTTTTTCCCGCGGACCTTTAAGCCACGCCCTACGCTTATTGATACAAGCATTTATAATAGTTGAAATTTAATCATATTACAAAAGTTTTAATAAATAATAGTTGAGGTTCAATCGATTAATTCATTTATAATATAATCGTAAAGTAATTGTAAAATCTAAGATCTGTGAAATTATTATGCATATCTATATATTAAATACCTGTTCATAATTATATTAATACAATTTATTAATAACAACTCTCTTCTATGAGTGAACATCTTTAGGTTTACCAATGAAAGGTATCTTTTTTTAGTACACAATTGAATATTTTCTGCTAATAATTGGGTTAATAATATTGGGGAATTTTCGAACCTGCTTTACTATTGATTTATAGGTTTACAATTACTTATAGATACAAGTTTTAGAATAAATTATGAAAAAAATATGTTTAAACTAGTTAGTTGTTTAGACAGTGAATTTATTATAACGATGTCTAATAATCAATAATGAAAATACACGATATAATGCATATATAGCTAGAATGTCAACGTTCAACCATTTTCAAAAATCAAAACATTTTTTATAAAATAAGTAAAAAAGAATGATTCTGCTCAAGGTAATGCATCGATATAAATTACAAAATTACTACTATAAATATGATATACTAATTAATTTAATTTGCTTTAATGTAACAATGCTGAGATTTGAATTATATCTATTTTTGCACCTACCTCTATAGCTGAATCGTACGATTCGGATTTCTCAACCATTATAATTCCTTTGAATATACTTATTTGATTGATAATAACATTTTAATCACACACAAAAATATAGTTTTAAATCTGTTTCACTGAGCTTATATCATATTAAAATATATAATATGATATTATTTTTAAAAATATCAAAACATATTATTCCAATTAAACTAGAATATAACCGTGTAAAAATAAATTATATAGTTAAAACAATTTAAAATGTTTTTTCAATTAAACGATTTCCCATAAAAACAAATCATTCCAAATAAACACCACGGTCTTAAACAACTTGAATCACTAATGCTTGTTTATTATTCAACACATCTTTCTAAGTTAAACAAACGACGGAAAACGAGTAAATATTTACTTTTAAATCTCTTTAAATTTTTTGATGTTAGCTTATTTAACTGGTTACAGTAACGGTTACAGGTTATTTTGTATGAAAAATGAGAAAAACACTAATAGCGTAATTTACTGCGGTTACATGTGAGTTTAAACTCAGACTGTCAGCATCCTCTTTGAGGCTTCCTTGCTTTTGCTTCCTATCGAGATACGCGGATGCAGTGCCGGTCAATTGTAAGGAAAAAGCAGGCTAATATATTTCTCAAAAGACAATAACACATAAATGATACAGAAATAATTATAGTATATATAATAATATATTTCTTTCGAATTTTTATTGAATCACTTCAGTCAGCTAATTTAAATATTATATTAAATCAGTATAGTTAGGGGTACAAAGATCCAATTTGAATTTGAGCATTTATATGGTGAAAACCTAACCAATTACATGACGACAAATACAACATATCAACATATCAAACAAACAACTATCTGACTATGTTCAGTAAAACTCCCACCTATGAAGCAATTTGTTTTTTTTCATAAATTTGTCACCTGATCCTTTTTACCCCACAAGATGGGATAAATTAGGACGGCCAGGGGGCAATGTTTTATTTTTGATTTCAAAGAGATTTTGCGAAGTATTAGCTACATTATTTAACAAATCCAAAATATAAATTTCATGGGTACATTTTTTCCAAAGATAACATAACAAAGATGATCAGGTATTTCGTCAAAAATATTCATCAGCAAATTTAGAATTTAATAATATTTATATAATTTATCTTTTGTAAACTTGCTTTTTAACTTAATTTTCTATTTTATTTATTTTTTATTATGTTTAGTTGGTCCTTATTACCCCACCCATGTCTAAGCTTTTATAACAGTTATATACTGTTAAGTCAAATTTGAAATTACCAATACAACTTATAAAATAATTAACTAACGTGTACTTAAAAATTATATTTTTAATTAAGGTCCTGTAAACAGAGCTCACTATTAAAAAAACCAACAACGAAATAAAATACTTTTCTTATAGATTTTGAAACATTGCCGTTTATCTCCTGATATCGATGAGTTAAATTTGGTTGAAATTTAGATTTAATTACAATAAAATATAAATGCTAATATTACCATTAAAACACCATCCCTATGATAACAATATGATAAGATGAGAAACTAACATGATATTTCTGAATAGTAAAATCTTACCAGTAATCTAGTGCAAAATAATTTATACTACTTTAAGGAATAAAATGACTTCTTTCGACAAAATATTACATTTTTTACATTTTGCAATCAGTTATTAAGAATGATTTAAGGATAATTTATCAAAGATGTAAGCACAATTTTTTTTTATATATGATTTATTGGCTTTATAAGCTAGTACATTAGCCATATACTAAATTACATAATATCTACACTATCTCAAGTCTAGTTTTACGTATATATCATTGTTTTATGTATATTTTAGCACAATTTTTGTTTGATCTTTTAATTGTCTTGTGATCAAAGCTAGCAGACCACTAATAATTCTGTCATAGAAGTTATTAAAGTCAATGGCAACATTATATATGATTGATTTTACGTTTTTTTTCAGATTTGTTTACCATATGATTGTGTAAGATTCTAGCTTTCATTAACGTGTTTGTTAATTAATTAATTTGAACTCGTGGTAGTTTAATTTAATTTAATTATTATTATTATACATAAAATCATAATAATCCTGAATATTCTAGCTAATCGAAAATTAAAATATATTATATAAGACTCTTCTAATTTGTGTTCCGGTATTTCTTATTTAAAATGTAAACATCTATTGCTATCATATATCATGTGCCAAAACATTGCATTTTGAATACTTGGCAAAGAAAATCAAAACAAATTTTAAGTGCATATAATCTGTCAATTAAGTTCGATGACAATAATATGTGGAGATTCATTGTCGAGAACATTTCACTATTATCTTTATATTATCTTGCTGAATCATTTTTAGTTTTCTGAAATATTAAACAATCTTGTATAATATTCTGATCTGATCTAATGTAATATTTTGATATTGCAAAAATGTGTAGAATAAAAATTTGATACTTTTTCTTTGAATTAAATATCTTAAATTATATTATATTCTTGTGCCAGTTAAATGAAAAGTAATATAAAAAATATGAGAAAAATTGATACTAAATTTAAGATATCATAATATATTTCGGACTGTAATTTATATTCGAGCCTTAAAATTAATATATGCCAACATAAAAATGTCGAATCTGGATCGAAAACTTTAATTGATCATATTTTGAATGAGATTTGATGTAAATTAATTAAATGTGCATGAAAAGTTTATATATACCACTACGTTAATAATTAGAAAATATAACGAGACAGTTTACAATAAGAAAAACATCAATTTATTAATTTAATCATGAAATGGTAAATCGAATTTATGATAAAATGGTTGAAATCATTTATTGAAATTCCCGATTTCAATTCAAATAAATTAAATAAATCATTTCGAAATAAATTATGTCAATTGATTTGTTTTGAAATAAATTTAATTATTAAGTTATATAGTAAATCACATTTAATTTCAACGAAGCTGATGATTAATTTGTCATTCGACGCCAAAGGCATGTGATTTCCCATCCCAGTGCGTACAAATTCTTTGAAAAATATGTATTTATTTAATTCTTTTTTGAATCCATAAATATTTAGGATTATTACAAAATGTACATGAGGTCATTCACTGTTTACCTCTATTATATATATGAAATAATTCGTCGTACAGTGGCGCAGTAGACACCACGGTGCTCAGAAATTTCGCGTTTATTATTAGATCATCACCGCATTGCATCGAGTCGCACCGTCCTAAATCTATTTCTAGAAACGAGTCGCCCATT